CTACAGTGGGGCATGGCTGGTCTCAAAATTACAGCGCACTCTAAGCAGCCCTTACTGGGACTATTTTTGCATATCTGTCAGACACAGACCCCGGACTGCTATGGTGACTATGAAAAGAGTGCAGCTGCCAAAACCGGTGGCCTTATTCATTATCCACCGGAGGCCAAATTATTTACATGTATAACAGTTCATTTGAAATACATTTACCAAGCAGCATCATCAATTTCTTCAGATACAAAAGAATTTCATTTAAATGGTTCTCAGGGCGTCAAAACCATGGCCCCCATAAAACAGCAGAGATAGCTGCATTCTCAAAACTGAGCATTATTAAAATGTCAAAATAAATATCAGGCAGAAATATAGCAGGAGGAGGCAGTAGCTACAGGCAAGCCGGGTCCCTCTGAAATCAGACCCAGAAGTTCAAAAGCAGCTGGGACAAGACAGAGTTTGGCGGCGCCAATTAGTCTTAGCGGAGGTTGTTTTCTTCCTTAGATAGATTTGTTGACAGCACATCACAGAAAGTTATTAAGCATCTGCTTTCACTAGGCATGACTCTTTTTTTTTTTTATCAGTGCTTTAATTCACTAAACAAGGAAAAGCAGGCACTACTATATAAGCAGAGTCATTAATAATATAAATCTCACCTAGAGTAAAAGAATAATATGGCCTGTCTCACTGGTCTATATAAAGTGATTTTTGTGGTTTTCCATTTGTCCTCTCTATGGATTTTTTTCCTTTGGTACATCTCGTCTCATTTTATTCTAAGACTTCTTCAGGGGACTTAATGGGAACAACTTTGAGAAAATCAGCTAATAATACCTCCATCTCTCATCTGGACAGCTAAGAGGACTCGCCAACCACCACTATCCCCCATCATTGGACCTTTTACCCTTGCTAGTGAGACCTTAGCTCTACTCTTAGTCTTTGCAACTGGGTCATTAAATTGGGCTTCTAGCTTCAGCATATGGCTTGAGGGTCATTAATATGAATGACATCTAATGGGTTATTTATTCCAGGGTTTACTTTGAAATTGTCTGGCTGAAATCTAATTATTTTCTTTCAAGACCATTTTTCAGCAGTTTTCCACTCACTCTGGTTTTAACTGAGGAACGAGATGAGTTCTAAAAGTCACAGAAAGTTTTAGTGTCATTTCAGGAAAAATCGTCCTCACCTCCTCCATATCTTACACATCACGCTGAAAAAGCTTTCTAAATTTCTCTTTGGTCTGCAAAACACTGCTCAAAGTAAGTAGGCAATCTATAAAATTGGAAGGAATTGGAACTGTAAGGCTTGTGAGAGAGAAAATCAGAGAGAGTTGGGGTGGGGCTCACGCAATATCTGGAAAAGAGAAGGGAGATCAGCCATGATGAGACCCCAGTCCTCCACCCCAATTTGCCACTGCACTTAGAAAAGACTCCAATTCTCCAGGTAAAAGTCTTTTGCAAGTTTACACCCTGTTTTTCATTTTGTTTTAAACTGCAAGATTCCAGGCAATGTGGCTCCCTAACCTGTCCCCAGTCACTGCCCATGGAGAGAGGACCCTCTCTGCTGGCCTGCTCCCACACTGAACCCCAGACTCCTACCGTGATCTCAGAATGCATGCTCACTTGGAAGACTTACCTTAAGTCCACTTCTCCTACAAAGCTGCTCCTATAGCTCAGTAAACGTGGACACTGACTCTGGGGGTTCTGTACTTTGTGGACTAGAATGTGAGTTCCTTGAAGCAAGTGCTTTTAGGCTTTTCCTAGCCCTACTTCCTGGTACCTAAGGTTCTTTAGTGATTTAAAGACTATCTGTTGACTTGAACTGGCTTTTTCAGAAAAGCAGGTACATTCCAGGGAAAGGACAATGAAAAAAGAGGGAGAAAGAAGGAGAGAGAGAGAAACATGATTAATGGCCTAACGCTCTCTAACAGACGGAAGTGGTTTTAGCTGTTGGAGCTAGACCACTCCACAGCCAAGGGTATTGAACGTGAGTTCCAAAAGAAAACTTGATCATCCTACAGATTTACTGGCCCTCACAAAATCGTTTTCAAGGTACATGTATTCGATTTTTTTTCTTGTAAACATAAAAATAGAAATGAAGAATAATGACCCCGCACAGATGTCCATGCCCTAACCCCAGAACCTGTGGAGACGGTGCCCTGCTGAATGTGATTAAGGGAATGGGCCGTGCGATGAAGAGGATTGTGAATTATCCAGGTGGGCCCCATGTGCCACATCCGTCTTTAAAGGTAAAAGACCTTTCCCAGCTATATTCAGTGAGAGAGAGAGAGATCCGACAATGAAAGAAAAGTCAGAAAGATGCGACACTGCTGGCGCGGAAGGCGGAAGACGGGGGCCACAAGCCCAGGAATGGGGGCAAGAAAATAGATTCTCCCCGAGAGCTTCCAAAAGGAACCCAGCCCTGCCAACACCTCAGTTTTAGCCCCGTGAGAACTGGATTGAACTTCTAACCTTATGAAGTTGTAAGATGACAAATGCGTGTAGTTTTGAGCCATGCATAGTTGGTTTCAGCAGCAAGAGAAAATGAATATAAAAGGCAACCCTGGGCTTCAACAGGGCCCTAAACACCAGCCCCGGTGGTCAGGCATTCCCTGCTGAGCCCCCAGACCACAGAGATTTCTGACTTCAGCTGAAAGCTTCCCTCTATCCCTTCTTCCCCTCTCTGCCACTTGGCTGATTTTTCTCATCTTTCAAGACTCAGTACAAACTTTCTCTTCCCTGAAAAATCTTGGTTTTATCTAGATAGGCTATAAATGTCTGAAAAGTGGGGAACATATGTTGTTTGTACATGTTAGTTTGAATGATGGAATTAATTTATCATCACTTGATGGAGTGTAAAAATAAGGGACAATGAAACTTGTCACTGCATTTAAGGAAAGAGTAAGACCACCCCGACTGATGTGGCTCAGTGGATTGAGCACTGGCCTGCAAACCAAAAGGTCGCAGGTTTGGTTCCCAGTCAAGGCGCATGCCTGGGTTTCAGGCCAGGTCCCCAGTTGGGGGCATGCAAGAGGCAACTGTTTCTCTCTCACACAACAATGTTTCTCTCTGTCTCTTTGTCCCTCCTCTCCCCCCTCTCTAAAAATAAATAAATAAAATCTTTAAAAAAAAAAGAGTAAGGTCACTCACTAGGATCCACCTTAATTCACATTCATCAAGTCCTGCCTCACTCCTTCCCCTCCTTTCTTTGGACACACACACACACACACACACACACACACACACACACAAAACCTGGCATAGTTAAATCCTGGTCTGTGGCTGTTTAGAGTCAGACAAGTAAGGAACACATTCATCCCTGATCAAATGTATGAGCTGTTGCAGGTGGAGGGCTGAAACCAGAAAATTTTAAGGGAAATTTAAAAGGCATGGAAAAGGTTCCAAAATGTAGAGTTTAAACCCAGATCCAAGGTTTGAGAATCAAATAACAGGAGCCATGTAAGAGAGATAGTTTTAAAATAAGTCCACAAACACTTTGACACTCTCTTCCCCAAAAAAGTGAAGCTCAATTCCTCCCGTCCTTGAGTGCGGGCTGGAGTGAGCTTCGTCTAATAGAATATGATCAGGTCAAAATATGAAGTAATAAATATTCATTGTTTGAAGACACTAAGTTGTGTGATTATTTGTTATGCAGTAAAATAGGTAGTCAATATAGATCAAATATACTCCGTGGGGCAAAGGTGACAAATTGATAAGTCAACCTGATTTGGTCTACAAATATATTTTCCTCAGCTCAAAATAGTAGATTTTTTAAGAGCCAAAATTTGAAAAATCATTCCATTCTATTTACAAATATAGATGGCCAGTCTCTCAAAACGCTGGCGACACAGAGGCCTGCATTTCTGTCTGGCAGCCGTGAGCGGGAAGCGAGGACCAGCCCTCTGACGTAGAAGACGTGCTCCCCCAAAGGCCACGGCTGTGCCCACCAGCCCCTCCCCAGGGCCACACTTCCCCGACAGCGGGGCTTTGCATGCCCTTCCTCTTTCAGTGGGGAACTATTTGCCAGTTTCCATATCTCTATCAAAGGTAGGAGATAAGAGATACACTGAAGGGCTATGTTTCTTAAGAAATCTAAGGAAAAAACTCAATTCTTAGTGAGAGCAAAGAGTATTCTCGCATGCCTACTGTGATATCTATGTGTATCTGTGTCAAACACCCACGACTTGTGATCCCATTTTTTTCTTCCCAGGGTAGGTTTGCTCATACAGGGTACCTGACTGGCCCCTATAGGTAATGGAGTTTGCTAAACCTACTCTTTCTTACCCTGGGCTCTTTGAAAAGGGGCTAAAATACATCATACGAATTTGGTAGATCTGGCTCTTCAGCATCTTAAAGGCAGCTGCCAATATTACACCTTTATTCTCATATTGCATGTTTTGAGAAGAACCTTTCTGAGACCATGGTATCTATTAAATATTTTTCTGGTTTTGTACATATCATAGTTATTTAGCCTGAGCTTCTGATTGCTGACTCAAATTGGGTCTGACCAAAACCATAACAGCTAATCAAAGATATAATCCCAAGTACATTCATAAATGCATACCTTTTGCTATTACTAAAATTTCAAGGAAATTAACAATGAACTAAAATTAGAGTCAGCAAACCAGAGCACACAGGTCAAATCTGGCCCACCACCAGCTTTTGTAAATAAAGTTTTATTGGAACACAGCCATATTCATTCATTTACATATTGTCTGTGGCTGCCTCTGAATCATAGTCACCAAGCTGAGTAATTATGACATAGACCTTATGACCTGCAACACTAAAATATTTACTATTTAGCCAACCCCTGAATGAGAAGAATAAAATACAAGTATTTGGATGGTTAATAAGCCCAAAACATACTCTTCAAAAAAACACAACATGGGAAAAGATAAAGTTACCATGCCCTATCCAGAATGTTTGCCTTAAAATTCATCATTGATAACGCTTGAGCTTTCTTTACCTTACAATGGATATAAGTAGAACAGTTTATTAAGTTGAAAATGAACTGACCGTGGCTAGTTTCTGAACATCTTCATCTGATGCTCCCAGAGATGCCAGGCCTATTTCTTGTGAAAATTGAGCAAACTTGGGATCTGCCAGTAGTGGAACATGTCCCAGGAGTTCGTGACACGTGTCTCTGACAAGAAAAACATCACAAAGAAATGTTACACCAGAAGCCTTAAACTACCACTGGTAGAACAAGACTTAAAACCTTTAACGTAATCGTATTACTTTAATTAATCACTGTTAATTTAATCAATTTTAAGACTTTGTATCACATTTTAACAACTCTGAAGTCCAACTGTGCCTTCTAATCAGTGGCATCTTAAATTATGATATGTAGTATTTTAATAAAATAATAGCAACTACTATTTTCAAGTTCTTACTTTATACCAAGCATATGATAAGTGTGTTTTTTTTTTGTTTTCTTTCTTTTTTCTTTTTTCCTTTTCTGTTTTTTTTGGGGGTGGGGAGGGATTGTTATATAAGTATTTTATCATATACATTATCTCTTTTTAATCCTCAAGAGAAACTTACAGGATTAAAATAATTTATTAGTGCAAGATCCTGTAGAGCCAGGGTGAACAAAATACAGCTGCAGACCAAATCTGGCCCACTGCCTGTTTTTGAAGGTAAAGTTGTATTAGGACACAGCCATACCTTCACTTCTGTATTGTCTGGGCCCCCTTTTGACTGTACAGCAGAGTTGAATAGTTGTGACTAAGATCATATTCCCCACAAAGCCTAAAATATTTCCTAACTGGCTCTATCTAGAAAAATCTGCTGAATCTTGCTGTAGATAGGGATAAAACCAAAATCTGACTCCTGCTTTTCATGATTCCTAATCTTTTCTCTTAACCCTTCAGTTGCACTGCATCTCATGTTACACGTTGCTAGGCACCGGGAAACAGCAGAGGATCATATTGTCATCATCCAAGCAGCCTTTCCCACAGACAATTTATCTGCCTACAACTAGAGCAGCTCCCTTGACCCTCATAGTCCTCTGCCTTGGAGGGCCAGAACTAGGTAATAACAGAAGCTTAGCACCTCACTCATTTGCCTGAGTTTCCATTTGGAGCCAGATGACAAGGCAAAGGCAGTATGTGTCACAATTTAGCAAGGCAGATGACTTACTGAGTCATTTCCATGAATCACAAACTGTTCCCTTATACCAAGCTATATTGGAATGATGTCCCCTATGACTCTCTGGGAATGGATCAAGAGGTAGCAATATTTTTTCTTTACAAAAACCAATTAGCCAGGCAGTAATTGAAAGATGTTTCCTGATTTCACCTGGCTTCTCTGAAGTATATCACATCAAACAGGTGCTATAATATAAATGCCAGGTGCTACCACCATTATTACAAGTATAAAGTAAGTTGAATGGACATGTGGCTGAAGCAAGTGAATGGTGGTCAAAGGCACAAGATAGATGCCCACATAAAACAGATGGCATTACTCAATCAAAAAATCTTGTCCCACAACTGAAACCACATCCCCAACACTGGCCAGCCACTTCACAGACACATCACGTTGAAAGAGCAGCCAAATGAGATACGTGAACATGATACTAAAAGAAACTCCAAATCCATTCCCTGTCAACCGTGTGCTAATAGCTTTCTTCTCGCACATAAACTGAATTTGTGAAGGATAATATGTGTTGTTGTGGTTGTTGTTTTTGTCTCCAATCATAATGCTTAAGGCAAAGAATCAAGACTCAGTGATCAGGGGAATTTAAATGTTATCCAGGCTCCTCATTTTACCCATGAAGAAATTAAAGACAGAAAGAAAAATGAAATCTAACATATACTGCATTCTTATAGTGTGCTGGAGACCGTGCTAAATGCTTTCATATCACATCACTAATTTAATCTTCACTTACATAGAAGTCTTACTATTCCCATGTGACAAATGAGAAGCTAAAGGTCAATAAATTTAAGCATTTTTTCCAAATCCTCTCTGTTGATAAGAGACAAGATTTGAAATCAGATTTCTTTATTGTTTTAACTTGTATTGCTCTATTGTTTTAATGTGTATTTGTGGAGTAAGTGAGAAGGGAGGTGGGCCTTAGGGTGTGAGGAGGAGAGTTCAACCAAGTTAGTTGGCATGAGTAAAAACGTAGTCAGCATGTCAGAGGTCTCTTTTCCGGGCGTTCAGTGGTCTTCAACCCTCCACATTACTTGAAGAGCCTTTTTAAAAATATCAATGACTGGCTCCTATCTAACACCAATTCAGTCTGACTCTTTGGGAGAGATCTGGGTATCTGTGTTTTTTAAAAAGCTCTGTGGGCGATAATAAGACACATGCAGACTCGATTCATAACTGATGATGCGAGGAGCTCCACTAACCATCTTTAAAAAACTAGTACTTGAAACTGAAGTGGAATGTGGTTATGCAATTTTGAGTGGCTCAAGTTTAATTCCACTAGAACCATATCGTTAATACTGGAGAATACTGAAAGGAGACAATGGAAACATCACTAGGTAGCTAGTTTTTCTTCCAACGGCATTTGATTCCATTAAAAGTCTCGTACACCATGCCAGGAGTGGACCTACAGACTCACTCGTGGGATCGGGTTTTAAAAGGTCATGCAGCCTGCACCCCTGCCGGAATTAGGATCAAGTGGCCCATCACGGATAAGTCTGAATACCCCCACTGTGGCCTATGATGTAAATACTAAAGCACCCCACAGATTCAGGCAGAAAATGTGACCACAATAATTCCAAAATTAGACAAGATGTCAAACTCTAGGGAAATACTGAACATGGCATTAGCTCATGGTATAAGTAAGCAAGGTGAGCTGAAACAAAAACAATTTTTGTGGTCAACACCTATTAAATGCTTGCTCTAGGTTGGGCACAGCGCTAAGGGCTTCATAGTATGAGAATAAGGATAGTCGTGGCTACTGTGCTGCTGAATTCTTGGTACAATACTGGATTTTGAGCTTCTTAAACACTTGAGGAAGGCTGCTGCAGAAAAAGTCTTCTACCTACCTAGGTCCTGATGGAGTCTAAAAGGTAGAAAGGAAAGTGAAAAGCAGGCAACTGAAAAGGAAAGAGGAAGGGAAATACAAGAGATCCAAAGATACTAAGGAGTTAATTCTCTGTGGTAGAAAAAGAGCTGTTGCCTAGCTGTCACCTGGATTTTAAATTAAAGTACCGTTACCAGAAACCTATACCAGTATAAGAACCTTTAATAGCATTACAATGACAAGGTAATCCAACTATACATAGAAAAGGAAAAGAAGAATTATAAATTTGAAAGAAAAAAAATCATACAACCTAGCAGCTTAAGTTATATTGTTTCATTAAGAATGAAAGCCTGTCCCTAGCCAAGTGGCTCAGTTAGTTGGAGCATTGTCCTCTGCACCAAAAAGTTGTGGGTTCAATCCCAGATCAGGGCACATCCCTTAGGTTGTAGGTTTGCTCCCTGGTTGAGGTGTGTGGGGGGGGCAACTGATCAATGACTCACTCTCTCTCCCTCTCTCTGTCTCTCTCCCAAAAAATAAAAACATATCCTCTGGTGAGAATTTAAAAAAAAAAGAATGAAAGCTTGAAGCGAGATATCAAGCATTAATGGCATGTGAGAGATGCCCTTTGTCCCATTATAAGTAGAAATAGTCACTCCATATTTCACAAGTCTGTGCCCATATCTCAGCTCCATCTCCATACAGAGAACCCAGGGAAGAACTGCAGCAGAGACTCCTGAGCAAGTGGAGATGCATTATGTACAGCAGCCCCCTTCTCTTTGAGCTAGGACTTTAAGCACCTAATATTTCCAGACTAGAAAGAAGGTTTCTGTCTCTTGTGGAGCACTCTCAGAAACACCAGATTGTTCTCTATCCCAGTGTCTTCCACTAATGCACTGGGTGTAAACAAAGGAAACTGAAGTAGAAAGATCTTTAACATTGCTAATAAAAGCAACTAATTAACTTTGGAAAGTTGACATTTTCTTGAGTTTCTTTCAGACTGAAGGACTTAGAAGCTGGGTTGACTACAACTCTCGGGGGCTAAAAGAGGTTCCAGACTATGGGGAGCCCAAGCGAGAAGACTAAGTCTTCTCTCCAACCTTTGTATCAATTAAGTTCTGTTGAGCTGAAATCATGCCATTTCGCCCTATTTTTCAAAGTGCAATAGCTATTATTCCTGGCAGGTAAAGTAGTTCCCCTGCATCGTTATGGCATCTACAGCTGGACCTGAGCACCTCATTATGAACAGGTTTCCGATGTGAGTCCACAGCTATTGCCTTATCTCAGCAGAGCTCTCTTAAAAGATTCGATTATTTGACTATAATTGCACCTGTCAGCACATGCTGTCTCCAATCTCTACATCGGCAAACTTTTCTCTTTTTAACTCACAATCCTTTGATGCATTCTCTCCTGAATAATGCTTTTCAGAGCTCTTTTCACAAAAGCGCTCTGTTCACTAGAAATGTAAGACCTTTCAAAACTGTTAACACTGTAAAACATCATGTCTCCTTTTGGGGGGAGAAAAAAAAAGGAAGAATGAAGGAAAAGCTTGAGCTGATATCAGCCACTAACTTTGGCTGCTCTCAACGGGAATCTTCTCTGATATGCCCTGTTAGTAGGACTCTAAAAAGCCTGCTGAAATGGGCCTACAAAGGGGCCTGGCGAAGATGGCTCCAGGGAATTCTTCAATCATTCTACAAAAGTTGCCATCATTGCGTGGCATGGAGAAGCAAGGGTCCTGGTTGTTAAATGCAAATTCAAAACGAGTCCAGCATTTTTTTTTCCTCTTAACAGTTTTCAAAGCTGATGCTCGTGTTACATGTTGGACAACTCATTTTTATTCCTGCTGTGAATTAAAGTCTTTAAGAAGCAGCGAGTGAGCATCCAACATTTGCTTCCCATCCCAAATCAGCGCATCTGTCTTTTTAACCATATTTCTGTAGGTTTTGTTTGTTCTAAATGACACAGAAGCCGACACTTTAGCTAAATCACAAAGAGAAGGGAGATGAGTGGGCGGGGTGGCGCGTTTGCATTGATGAAAAGAAGCAGGAGGATGAGCTGGGAGCCAGAATAGGGTCTTTTTTCCGCTGTCACACGACATTTGGTGGGTAAGTGTAAGTCATCTGGGATAACGCACCAGGATGCACTGAATAGAGGGTGACTCGGTT